GTATATATGTACCATTCCTGAAACCAGTTTAAATGCCAAAATGACTTTAAGTCAGCCTCCAGAGAATTCAACTCCTTCCTTGATACTTCAGTCACTCAAACTCAAACATTCCTCCCTCATCTCAATAGTAACATACAAAGTAACTAAGACAAGGAAATAAGGAATTTTTGTTCAATTATACCAATTTTTTTCAAGTGCTACATATACTTCACTTAAGTTTAGGTAAATGAATGTCTGGTCTCAGTAAAAGAAAAAAGATTGTATCATTAATTTACATCAAAGTTTAATAAATAAGCACAATTTAAAAAATGAAAATGTTGGAAGTAAAAGTCTGTTTCATTTTCACGTCTGATATATATCTGTTATGGATTATATTGTGTCCCTTCAAAATTCATATGTGAAAGTCATAATTTCCAGTGCCTCAGAAAGTGACCATATCTAGAGGGGGGGGGGTCTTTGTAGTAGCAATCAAGTTAGGATAAGGCCACTGGGGTAGGTCCTAATCCAGTACGACATGTATTCTTATAAAAAGGAGAAATTTAGAGACAGACACACCTAGAGTCAGAACTCCAGGTAGATGGCTATCTAAAAGTCAGGAAGATGCCTGGAACAGATCCTTCCTTCACAGCCCTCACAAAGAATCCACCCTGCCAACACCTTGATTTCAGAGGTCTACCCTCCAGAACAGTGAGACAATAAATATCTGTTGTATAAATCATCCAGTTAGTTGCACTTTGTTACAGCATTTCAGCAAACTTATACACCAAATTCTAATTCAAGTGTTTTTCAAAGGCACAAAATCTGGCTTCATGGATATTGTGCAAATACAGTGGGAAATCAGAAGACTTAACCAAATGGCAACAAGATCCAATCTACTCCAGGAATTCCCTGCTCCTATCTATCCCTCATCTACCAGTCTGATTCTTTCAAAATGTATTTAGCAAATATTTGAGCCTCCACTAAATTCTAGGTTTGGTCTTATTTAATCCTCAGAATGACCCTATGAGGTAGGTATTGATATTTAGACTTTACGAATAGAGAATCAGAAAGACAATAATATCCCCAAGACCATACAATGAGAAGCATGGAGCACAGACCTCTTTAAGGGCCTCTAAGCCTGTACTCTCAACACTTTATACACTATACTGCCTTTCTGAGAAAGTTCTTTTCAAAAAAAATCTGAACTGTCTACTTTGGAGACTAAAGCAACGTAGTCAAAACATTGTGCAGCTGCCAAAAAATTATACAATTACTGCCACTGCTCTCCAGAGGTACAAAACTTAAATCAGATGGTAGAGAATGAGGAAGTGACACCCTGCTTGAGAATCTGTCATATTACAAAACTTCCCACTTCTAGAAGTTATCTTCTTTTCCTATCATAGGTTACTCTGAGCTAAAAAATGTCCCTAAGAATACAAGAACATGTGAGAAAGAAAAAAGAAGCTTTTATGCCGTTAGAGGGTCCACATAAGAAGTTCCTGGTAAACTCCCCGCATACCAAGACCACAAGCAAGAGCTACAGGGAGGACTCTGCTGTCCTTCCTACAGGCACATCTTAGGAAAAAGGGGAGAGAACGTTTTCAGTTTACAAACTCAACAGCCAAATGGCCATGGCTGTTTAGGGTCTAGAATGTCTTAAAGCTTTTCCACCCATAGTGCACTGTGCACTGAAGTTTCAGCTTACAATAACAAAGCACTCCGGTACAAGTATCACAAAACTGACAAGGAAAATAATGGAAATATTTTTACATAACCTTTTACAAAATTCTAGCAGTAAATCCATCCCCAAGCAAAATCCAGTTTTAAAGCTAAGGCCAATTTTTATTTTGTAAAACTACGGTGAGAATCCTCTGTTGTACTGTAACTGCAGCATGCAGAAAAGTCCATTTACACTTTCCTGCACAGATTAAAATGCTTCTCACTACAGTAATCTGATACTGGAAGCTTTCAGGTTTTTAAACTTAAATATCATATATATATATAATCCAGAAATAAATGTATCTTCCTTACAATTAAAAGGTTTAAAAGAACGGGGATTTCAGAGACTTTCGTTTTCACAAGTCTCCTAATACTTAGAAAAGTGTGAGTCCTAATGAACCAAAATCTAGGGAGAAGAAAAGGTGGAGCATCTGAAAATTCACATTTGTTAAAAGTAACTGTCCAGGTGATTTCCCAGGGATTTTGTTTAACGTAAAAATCAAGTATCTCCATATCCTTAAAACAGGTAATTTTGTTTTTTGCTTTTTGTTTGAGATGGAGTCTTGCTCTGTTGCCCAGGCTGGAGGGCGATCTCCGCTCACTGCAAGCTCTGCCTCCCGGGTTCAGGCCATTCTCCTGCCTCAGCTTCCCAAGTAGCTGGGACTATAGGCACCTGCCACCACCCCCAGCTAATTTTTTGTATTTTTAGTAGAGACGGGGTTTCACTGTTTAGCCAGGATGGTCTCTATTTCCTGACCTCATGATCTGCCTGCCTTGACCTCCCAAAGTGCTGGGATTACAGGCGTGAGCCACCGCGCCCAGCTAAACAGGTAAATTTTATGATATGCAAATTATATATCAATAAAGCTTTTTAAAAAAATCATTCATTTCCTTCTGTATACTTGCAGTGACCTTAATATGCATTAGTAATACTAAGGTCACAGTTTAAAATTCTACTAGCCTGTTGTCCAAAATGAAAAGCTGAATATGGAGGGAAAAAAAGGTAGATTTGGGGCTCTCCGCAGATTTTTAGCTAAGCTTTTAGAAAAAAGAATCACTGACAAAGGACAGTGTCTGCTTAAACAAAGTAAGACACCACTGTTTAGAAAAACCCCTAAATCGAAAAATATTAGTTTGCTACCATTATGAGCATAAAGAATCTATCACAGGCCATGACTAGGATCTTTCTTAGCTAACCAAGTTGGTTTGAGTTACTTTAATTAAAAGTCCTCTAAATAATTCACAAATAGGATATGAGTTATCTCAGGCAAAATTTAAAACAGCTTTAAAACCCTAACTACATAAATTTTTTTAAAAAAATTATTTCCTCATTAGTCACAGAGCAACAAAAGTGTTAAATCTGTAGGAGTGTTTGTAACTTCCAAAATTATTTTTAGAGGAAATACATTTAATATACCAAGAGCATTGATTCTTCTTATAGATTCCATAACACCCACAGCATCTATGCCATATGTTAGAGATTTTCATTTGAACTGAGATGATTACATTTTCTGATTAAACAGTAACTGAAAAGATAAGTAGCAGTCTAATTACATATCTAAATAAAATGTATATTTTAAGTGATTTCTCTATCCAACATTTGAAGATAGCAACACATAACACAGGATTTGCTGAGCAGGACTAGTTAAGTAAAATATTCAATTAAAAAATTATTCTACTAATGTAAACATTCAAAGTTCCATGCCTGATATATTCTCTCCAATCTTCCAACTAAAACCAAGAAACCCCAAACATTTTATACTCACTCTATACATTAAATTACAATAACACAAAGTCAAAAGCCTAAGACTTCTTTAAATTTTAACCTATTCTTTTTTTTTTTTTTGAGACAGAGTCTCACTCTGTCACCCAGGCTGTAGTGCAGTGGTGTGATCTCGGCTCACTGCAACCTCCACCTTCCGGGTTCATGTAATTCTCCTGCTTCAGCCTCCTGAGTAGCTGGAATTACAGGCACACGCCACCACACCCAGTTAATTTTTGCATTTTTAGTAGAGACCAGGTTTCACCATGTTGGTCAGGCTTGTCTCAACTTCTTGACCTTGTGATCTGCCCACCTTTGCCTTCCAAAGTGCTGGGATTACAGGAGTGAGCCACTGCACCAGGCTCCTATTCTTTTAATTTATCACAAACACACAGTGTGGTCACAACACAAGCAAGGTATTTTTATGTTAATCACATGCCTCTAAGAAGAAAATCAAATCTTTTCTAATCAATATTCTTAAATGGCTCATAAATCAAAATCTGATGCTACCCTAAGAATTCAATGTATTATCAACTGACAAAATTACCTCAAGTTCAAACATAAGGGTTACTACTACTGATGCATTGGGAAAAAAACCAAACCAACCAGTTTTTCTGTTGCATTATACACAAAGAATCTGGAAATCTGTATATATTTGTAGAATTCATTTTATTACTGAAACTATAAAAATAAACTTAATTTACTCTTACAAATTAAAAGAATCAATAGAAAATTATCTCACCTCTATGCAAATACTTAAAAGTGTTTAGCAGGGTTGAATTACTGTGCAATTTTAGATGAAAAAATTAAGAATGGTTGAAACAACTGCCAATTTTGGCAAAAGCAAAGCATCCAAACCACACTATTATACTCAATCCTCTCTAATCTTCTCTGAACCACTGTACAAAATACTTTTAAAATTGTTCATCCCTTAATCAGCAGGTTGCTGTACTCTATCAGGACAGGCTGAACAATATTTCTATATTGCTGAAAAAAGAGAATAGAGCCTGTTTACTGTGTCAGACCAAGTAGATACCCAGAAATCAATGGATGGGGAGGAAAGGAGAACAGTATTCGCTGTATAAGGGGAAAGAAATCTTACTGAAAACTCCAAGAGCTGAGTGATACTCTCAGGTGACGGCTCAAGTCTCTAATGTCCCTCAGTTCCTTGTGTGAATAAAGCAGTTTCCCAGCAACTCTGCGTAAGTATTACATCTGCTACCTGCAAATCATTCAGCTGTTACACAAATATACATTATTATGATTCTCAAGATGGCAAGGGTTGATAAATTACTAACAGTTTAGTTCTATATTATTTATTTTAGCTTACATATGTGGAGCCACCCTAATTTCTACTTGCAAACTGCACAATTTACAGTTTACATCCTCTCACCCAATTATAATTTGACAATCACCTCCCCCAGCTAGGAAGCTGTGAAAAGATAGTTAAGGCCAGACGTATAGGACAGAACTGCCATGGATGAGACACAACAATTGTTCTTAAGTCCTAAAGCTTAAAAAAAATTGTTTCATAAATTACCTTTATTGTCATCGTAGCAGATCAAACTGTAAGAGACTGTCCAGTGTTTCTGTTTCTTGCTACATTGGAATATTCAAATGCTACTAAAAATAAGTGTGAGTCATTTGAGTCTTGCATAACTCTCATCCTGCAAACATTTGTTGCAATGGTATTTGTTTAAAAAATGACCCACCTGCTCCCTCTTCGGTTCCTGTGTCTCACTCCATCTTGAAATAAGCATGCTCCTTAAGAGTTTGCCCTCAGCTTCTTTGGCCTCTATACAACCTATCCTTCTGTAATTTTATGCAGTATTATTCCTACAAACATAACCTGAATGTCTTTAAGGCACTATACTCATCATATCCTAAAATGGACTCATCTTCCATCTCAATTTCCCCAAACTGCTCCGCCTCCAAAAAGTCCCTGTAGCAAACCAGAACCATTCACCCATATGATAAAGCCAGAAACCTGAGTAAATCCTTACTCCCCTTTCTCCCTCAATCCTTTGATCCAAGTAATCCTATCAACTGTATTTCCTCAAAAGTGTAAACATTTGTTCACTGCAGTCCTTCCTACAACCACCATCCAAGTCCAAACCCCACCAATTAGACTACTGTATTTTAATAACCTCTAACTGCTCTCCCTCCAGCCTCACTTACATGTTTACATAGCAACCTGTGTTTCTTTTTTTAGTAACATCTATTACATTTCTTTGATTCACTCTATAAACATACATTGAATGTGTGCCATGGTCCAGACACTATACCAAAACTACAAACACAGCAGTAAAGGAAAGAAACCACAGGCCCTCTAAAGCTCTCTGTCTCATCAGTGTAACTACATGCTGCGCACCTTTCTTCCCCATCAGACCAAGCTCCATGAGGGCAGGGATGACGTCCTTGTTGGTGTCCATATGTCCTGTATGAGGATACCACTGTATCCTCAGTGTCCAGCATAATAAATGACACACAGTATTCAATAAACATGTGAATAAAAGACAAAATTACCACGCGCATGTGTGCACACATACACAGCCTTAAATTCTTCACCTTCCCTAGCACTACTGTCTCATTACACTGCTTAACGGTTATTTCCACCTGCATAACTCATCTCAAACATTTTCCCCAAACCAGCATTTCTCCTTTGACCACTGTATCTGTAGCATACTTTAAGGTACTCGGGTTTAGAAAGCTGTCCTCCACTCTTCTTCCCCTTGCTCTCTTCTTCCAATCAGAGGTGCAGTCTCTCCCCGGGCCCCCAATGGCACCATTCTAATCATGCTTCCCATTCTCTGTGTTACAGCAATTTATACCCTTCTATAAATAAGGTAAACTTGTTGAAGCTAGGGACGGCTTCATTCACTTCTATATTCTCCAGCCAGCATTGCCTTACAAATGTAGGCCCAAAAATATTTGCTAAGAGAAATCCAATAGGAAAACAAGAAAAACTGAAAGAACATTTGTGAATCTAGGAACATATTGACAGTACCTATGACTGAAATGACTGCAAGAAGAGACTATAAAATCTCCAATCTTGGAGCGCATGAGAGCAAAACAGGTGAGGCACTATCAGCTAAATAGCTTTTATTTTTGCCTCTAGGTTCCTGAGCTACTGATTATAAAACAGCTTAAATTCTTGTCAGAGGGCACATTCTAATGTCTAATACTATAAACCTCAAACTTTTTAAAAGTAGCCAACATTATTTCCCTACTGAAACCAAATGCAGAATGTCACAATAAAAGAGATAAAAATAAAGCTGCTTAACTATTCACAACAGCAAAGACATGGAATCAACCTAAATACCTATCAATGACAGACTGGGTAAAGAAAATATGGTGTATATATACCATGGAATACTATGCAGCCACAATAAAGAAGATCATATCTTTTGTGGAAGCAGATGGAGCTGGAGGCTATTATCATTAGCAAACTAACACAGGAACAGAAAACCAAACACCACGTTCTTATTTATAAGTGGGAGCCAAATGATGAGAACTCATGGACACAAAGAAGGGAACAATGGACACTGGGGCCTACTTGAGGGTGGCGAGTGGGAAAAGGGAGAGGAGCAGAAAAAATAACTACTGGGTGCTAGGCTTAGTACCTGGGTGCAATAATATTACCACAATATAATAATATTACAACAATCCCCTGTGACATGAGTTTACCTATTAACTAACCTGTAAATGTGCCCATGAACCTAAAATAAAAGTTTAAAAAAAAAATAGAGCTGCTCCAGCTGAAGCTGGTCAGATAGAGAGGGCTACCTGCACAGTCTTGTCGGGATCCTTCCCATACAACAGCCCTTATTATGATTTGTGGAAGAAATCTTCGAAATCTGGCTCTAAAGGCAGTTCAAGCTTCCCTTGGGCCACCCTCACTGACTGTATGCATCAATGTGGGTCAAGAGCAACATGGAATCCTCAGGAACCAACAATGAGGATGCTGTGCCAGGGGAAGGAGCTTCTGTATAGGTATTAGAGATAGAACTGTTCTGAGGCAGATACCCCCATTATTGGAAGACCAAACAAAGAAGCAAGATGGAACTAAGGGAAAAGGGGTCATGACAAGTCACTTAAGTCTGCTTCCAATTTGAGTTGTGAAATGAAAAGTAATCGGACCTCTGAAATCCACATACTCCAGCCCAGCTAAGAAAACAGGAGAAGCCATAGGGACTTAGAGCCAGAATCTTAGGTGTTATATACATTTGCCCAGAGTGTCCTCCCCGCTATAGATGCCCTTCCAGAGCCAGCTGCAGCAGATGGTGGGATGATAATGCAAGAACTGATAACCTGCTGATTCCAACAACATGTTCATAAAGCATTTCCACCTCTAAAGCATAGTTACGCAAATTCTATTGTATCTAAATATCCGTAGGAGATATAATCTTCTCCATTTAGTGGGTTAAAAAGCTAATAAAATTATTTTTAATTAAGTTAATAAAACAATCTAAGTCAGATGTCATAAATGGGCCATTCCTTTAGCCTGGCACAGTACCTTCTGCAAAGTTTACGAGATTCCAGGAATTGACAATGCCAATCTTGGACACCTTACATTTCACTCGGCTCATCAGGAGTGAAATTCATTTAAAGTTAACTGTAACCACAGCAAGGGAACTTGGTGGTTAATTGCCAAGACAGCTGTTCAAAAACACCAATTAAATAGCGGGGATGTGAAGAGCACTTAGCATTATCCAGAAAACTACTGCAGCAGAAATACCCTGGAGTTCAGGTAATAACAATAAAAAGGTACAGCTGAATAACTCACCAACTAAGAATAAAAACAAAAGTAGCATTTAGGAGGACAGAATTCCTCTTAAAGACCACAAAACAACGGCTTAATGCCTAATTTAAGAATACAGAAAACTCTTGATTCAGAAGTAAAATTAAAAAAAAAAAAACAAAAACAAAAACCTGACTAGTGTTTCCTTCCTCCATAAAAATTAGAATCACACTATCTAATAACACCTAAAGTCAAAGAGCAAGAAATACATATGCAAAAGGGAGAAGACGATACTCTACATGGAAAGAAGAAAAATACTAGTTCCTGTTTGCTTTAGAATATACCTGAGAGCTGCCTCATTTCAAGAGCTGAATAAACCTGGCAAATACACATGATGAGAGAATTTTGACAAGTCTGACATATTAATGATAGGAGGAATTGCCAACATTCATTTCGTGATCATACTCCCCTAGAACTGTATTCAATTCAACTCTACAACACAAGATCATTAAAAAAAAAAAACAGAAAAATAAAAACCTGTCAGTTCCCAATAAACTGAACCCCACATCATGACTCATCTCAACCTTTCAGGTTTTCATGATTTAAACCACCACTTAATAAGGCAGAAATTATTTCCTCTTCCTTTAAAAAAAAAAAAATACAAGTGATAAGAAAAAAGCCCCATTCCTATTCCTGAACAATATAATCCACCAGTGACTGCTCAAAGTCGTTCACAGATTTTTACATGATAGCAATCAGGCAGCTAATGCACTGTTTTCCTAACCCACTATGGTCAAAACTACTAGACCGGTAACTCAAAGTTCTTTTCTACAGGCTAAAGAAAAACCAGTTCAATGTAGCATTTTAACATGTCATTTCAAGGTTTTGGAAAAAAACTATAAAAAGTTTTATAAAGTGTTGAATTATAAAAATGTTGAAAAAATTAGTTAAGCTGTAAAAACATCTTAAGAATCTTCTTCTCTGCTTGTAGCATGCTAACTGTAGAAGGAAAACACAAATTATAGGAAGAAAAAGGATAGATCCCCTAAGTGAAATTATTGTGTCAATGGTTTAAGAATTATTTGAGTATTTGATAATATATTGCTATATTGCTTTCCAAAAACGCTGTACCAATTTAAACTTCTGCCTTTTCTACTGTACTTCACTGCCTCTGCATGTTATTGTTAAGTCTTCTGGTAATCTAAGAGACCAAAAATACATTCTAACCACTTCGTACTATTGGTAGTATTTTGCTTTCAGATTTGTACAAACGCTGTAAATAATAATTTTTTTCCTATTTGATATTAATTTTGAATCCTTCTTCATACTGTCAGCCATGGTTTCTATCATGCTTATCTCCCACCCCTTCCATGTGCCATTCAGGTTATAGGAAGTACGTAGCTGTGAGCACACCCACCCAGGATTCAGATGAGCTGGGTGCTAGTACCACACCATTACCTAGCTGAATGACACAGTTAACCTATTGCTGGGCCTCAGAAAACATACTCCAAACTGAAGGCCTCAAAACCAAGTTTTTCTCTGATCTTCTCCTGCCTTCCTGTCTCTCAGTCCCATTTTCTCCCAAGGCTAGCTACAGAAACCAGAATCACTCTTTCCCAAGGTGGGTTACAAAAACCAGAATCCTTTTTCCCCAAACCCAGTCATAAAACTGAAAAATATTACTATAACTTTCCCTCGGTCTTTCTGTGTAAAAACTGATCATAAAGAAATTACCTGACCTATCTTGTTTGACTGTGGGTCACAAGACCCCAAGCCAGACAGGGTCCTGCTCCATACTCAGAAGAAAGGAATGCATGCTCAGAGAATGCAAGAAAAATCTAGATGGGCCTTGCTGAGTTTCCCCACTCAGTCTGTTAACAATAGATCATTCGTATTTTGGCCAATATGTCCATACTTTGTTGAACCTAAGCATAAAAATGGGCATTTTCCCCTGTATCTTTGGGTCTTCACTCTGAAGGCTCCCGTGCATACATACATTACATAAATTTGTATGCCTTTTCTCCAATTAATCTGCCTTCTGTCAGTTGATTTTTCAGTGAACCTTCAGAGGGCAAAAGGGAACTTTTCCCTTGGCCTCAAAATTACTTTGGTTTCACTTTCCCCTTAATGATTGGATAAAACGGCCTTTTAAGTTCAAATTCTATTCAATTTCATTTTTCCGTCTCTTAAAGTTCCTTCTCTGGTGATCCTGCAATTCTTAAACTAACTCTCTTCATAGATATCAATTTTAGAAAAGCCTTACTGAATATCCATCTATATATTATATAATACTTTAAAGATTTCAGTAGGCTAACAGAGAAGGTAAGAAAAAACAAGATAATGTTAAAAGGTTAGGGGGAAAACAGACAAAAAAGTAGAAAAAAGACATACTTATATTGGCATCATATATTTGGCAAATGATATTCTTCCACAACCTCAGTTAGGGTCCTTTTCTCAGAGAACTGCCACTGTGGTGATTCACTTCATTTTTCCATCTTAGTATGCCTTTGAATTTCTTCAAATTATATGCAAAACTTTGGGCAAGAATCTGCATTTTTCTGGGGAAGAATAATCATGGCTTTCATCAGATTCTCAAAAGGGTTCATTTAGCAAAAACACTGAAGACTCCTTAACCTACACAAACGACTCATGTCCTATCTTCCGGTCCACTCTTTCTTCTCGGAAGCAGTTGGGGGCCATATTGGGGTTTTCTGTGCCCTCCTCTTTATTTCTAAGACTGTCTGGGACTCCTTTCCTTCAATGGTACCAATAAAAACCTCTCTACTCTCACTATAGGATGAAGATTCATTCACTGCAATTCATCCCACCACAACAGACACACTGCAAATGATAACTGGATCATTCCACACCAGAGTCGAGCCACGTAATGAGTAAAATGTGGTTTCATCCTAAAAATCAGTATCTTATTTGACCCATGAAAAAAGGGCCTCTGCCCTGCAAAACACAGAGGACTGTCTCTCCTTTTACAGGGGTGTGTGGGGGTGGGACAGTGCATGCAGTAGTGATAACTGAAAATCACTGCCCTAGAAAACCAGAGAATGTCTGGGCGCGGTGGCTCACGCCTGTAATCCCAGCACTTCGGGAGGCTGAGGCGTGCAGACTGCCTGAGCTCAGGAGTTCAAGACCATGCTGGGCAACATGGCGAAACCCCATCTCTACTCAAATACAAAACAATTAGCCAGGCGTGGTGGCACACACCTGTAGTCCCAGCTATTCAGGAGGCTGAGGCAGGAGAATAGCTTGAGCCCAGAAGGCGGAGGTTGCAGTGAGCCGAGATCGCACCACTGCACTCCAGCTTGGTCTAGAGTGAGACTCCATCTCAAAACACCAGAGAAAGATGGCTGCAGCTGTTTTTGCTTCAAGTTTCCCATTCCATGACACCTAAAGTTGGAGTCTAAGCAGACTGAGTTCCCCAGAAAGCTGGGCTTCCTTCCACCTTCCATCTGTCCAGCTACTCAGCTAGTATAGTTCTGGGAGGTGCTTAGAACTAACTAACTAGAAATCCTGAGATGGAAAACTACAGTACCAAAGGAGGGAACCTGCTCACCCTGGCTTCCTG